CCGCCCCTCACCAGTCGCTAGATGAATGGGCTCGGGCGGGCAGGACGGGACGCGCCCTGGGCAGCGCGGGGGCTCATCCTCAATGACTGTGGGGCAGGGCCAGGCTGTGGCTGTGTCTGCAGAAGCTACCGCGACACCTCAGCCGGCGACAGTGCCAGTGACACCGACGGCGACACCGGCGGCGGCAGCGCCAGACGGGGCCAGAACTCTCAGCAGGGAGCACCGACAACCAGCGCCGCACCCACCAACAAGCGAGCCACCGATTGGCCGCGGCGCCGCCGCACCTCGCACGCTGATTGGCTGCGACTGCCGCCTCGGCTCTGCCCCTCCCGGCCGAGCCCGGATTGACTGACAGGCGGGGGCGGCAGGGGGCGAGGGGGAGAAGGCTGGTCGGTGGGCGTGGTCTGGGCGTGGCGGAGCCACAGTGGTGGGCGGGGTCGGTTCCGTGGGCGGGGTGTCGGAGGTGCGCAGGCGTTAAATCAAAATGGCGGCTGCGGGTGAGGAGGGATGAGGGTAGTACGTGTCTTGTGGTGGGCGAGGGAGGGGGCTGGAATTGACAGAGATTAAGGAAAGGCAGGGAGCTGAGGTGCCTCCCGCTGGCAGACTTCACGGGAGAAGCAGCGTCTCTGCAAAGAGAGGGGATGGGTTTCTGGCGAGGCAACGCCTCCCTCCAGCAGGGCTCAAAGGCAAATAATCAGCCTGCAGGTCTCCTCAAAATAATAATCGAGAAAGCTGTGCTGGTTCAGGCTGCGTTATGCTACTGCAGTTTGTCTCTCTGACAGAACAAGTGGTCTAATTTATGAGACATAGCTTGATTTTTTTATGAGGCTTTTGACACCACCTGGGGGCAGTCTCACAAGCAAACTTGGCGTGTGGGCGGGATTTGCAAAACTGCTCTTGTAATTACCTATGGTTCACTTCATGTGTGCTTCAAGTAAACTCCCTGAGGGCTCAGTTCAGTTCTTGATTAACGTCTCAGATGATGCAATGGGTGCTACAGATTACAGTTTAATCTGGAACAGGATTAGGGCATAGCATTTTAGGGTGGGAAGCTGGAACCAAGACAAGCAGTACCTACTGTAAAATACAGAGTAAAAAAAACCACACATCACTTTTTTTTTTTTCCAAAAAAACCGTTAATGATATATTTTTTCCAAGAAAAACGCGAATGATGCCTTAATGCCAGTGGCCAAAGTTTCTACATGTTTCTTTAAAGCCACAGTATTATGCCATGTGGTGTGAGCATTAAGACCTTAAAAGAACCTAGCTATTTTTTAAACCACAAAACAGTTGAAAGAGAAGTTATGTGTGTGCTTCAACAGAAGTTCAGTTTGGGAAAGATTGAGTAGAAGTTGTATATAGGTGAATCTCAAGCATTTTTATCTGTGCCATCTGACGAAGTACATGTGAACAGTACAGTCTGCTTTCTGATTTTCTCTGTATAAAAGTTTATTTTGCCAGCAGTCGTTCACCATTATAACTAACCCCACACGCTACATGAAATTTATTTATGCATTATTTTCCTAGTGATAGCTTCTTTGAGCTCCAGTCACAAATGTACTTCAGAGGTGGCCTTGCTCCAAGTATGCTGCCAGTTGGCCTAAGAACAGTGATGACCATCTGGGGAGATAAGGAAGTCCAAATGCAGCTGAAGTCAGTCATAAAAAATGCTTTATTGCACAATAACAAGTTCAAGTGAATAGCTGGGGCAGGCATCCTTTCGAGAGGTAAAGAGCTCGGTGGAAAAATGAAGAGGGTTTAAGTAGAATAAGGCCCAAGATTCTATATGAGAAAAATAATTTCTAGAACCTGGACTGCCCCTCAAGTCTTTTAAAAAAATACTATTGTAAGGAATAGAAAACTACAGCAAAGAACAAAGAAAAGTTGGAAAATAAGTCATGAATAGGACCTGATGGAGTCCGAGTCAGTCAAAACCGTGACATAATAACCAAAGGCTTTTAGCAATAAGTTTCTATGCAAGATTTTTATCTTGTTTACAGGACTTTTAATATTTTCATGGAAAATTAAGATATTAACTACTTTGCCTGTTGTTTGTTGTTCAGGTTTTTGTGATCGACCCCATCTTATAGGTCAGTAACAGAAATTCCTGCTGTCTTGTGCTGCCTCTGCATAAGCAGCAGCAAGCTAATAAACACCTTTCACAGAACACAGGTGCTGTAATTTGATTTGCTAGTGCTGTGCTGAGGTGATAAAGTAACATTGTAAAACAAAAGTAGCTCAAACAGGTTAACCTGAGCCTCTGTTTAAACTACGTCTTTTGGTTTGGCTTTTTCTACTCCTGGAAAGCTACAACATTGTTACAGAAAAATATCCTACTTTAAGACTTTCTGAAGAAATTACAGGCTGTGGAGATGAAAAGCCAGAAACAAGTCGCTGAAGAGTCCTTTTTAAAGTTCAACAGCCAGATTTGTGTACTACTTGCTTGACAATAAGGAACTGTCCATCTGGCTTTTTTCAGTCTGTGATGAAAAGGTCTGAATTATCACAAATAAACATGTAATTATAAGAAAATAATAAGCCTCTGACCACCATTGTTACTTTTTATAGCAGCTCTAGACTTTTAAGTCAATAATCCGTAACAAAAAAAGGTAAAATGGAAAAAGCAGCACTTAAAAAGGAAAACGGGTATACTTGGCCATCTTCAGAATTTGAGGAGGAACATCAGTTTTGAGTGACTTAACCAGCCTACAGAGGGTATGTTTGTCTTAGTTTTGCATCTCAGTTCATTGACTGTTGAAGGGTTATGGGTTGCCTGTGCTCCAAATGTGTATACTCATTTAAGGTTAGGGAAGACAAATCTAGGCTATAGGGAGGACAGTACCCCAGTAGGCAGCTTTCTGGTGACCTATTAATCTTATCAATCCATCCGGTGTAGTCTGGACCAGACTTAGGCTACTTGGAGGAATTAGAGGAGAAGATGTAAATGACATAAGGAACAAATGAACTCTGCACTCTGTGCTGTCTGAAATTGACCCTGAATGTTGAAAAAAAATGGTAATCGTTTTTATCAGCCAATAATCAAAAAGTTCAGTCTATATATCAAAAATTAAAATAATTAATTTTTTTCTTTTCAGCTATGCTAAATGTCAAGTGACAGATTTCCCCCCTCACATATCTATTTATGGTCCATAAGTGGCCTAATTATTACCAGTGTCCTCTGAAACCTTGAGTAATAATTCTTATCGGTAGCAGTAATACTCTGATTAAGAAAAAATTAATCAGCTCCAGGCTTAACTTCTGCTGATACTAAATAAGTTCCTCATGATCTTTCTCTTTTATGAACTTGGAAAAAATATTATAAAATACTGGAAAATTTGTATTACAGAACTAATAGAGGAAGATTCAATGTAACACCTCCTAGCAGGGAAGACTTGCAAAAAAGTATCTCCAAATTTATTAAAAGTATGTGCATCTTGCTTTAAGAAAACCTATCCTCCTACTGAAACAGACAGGGTTATTAAATTCCATATGACAATACTGTTTAAGGATAGTTTGGAGAAGAAGTCTGGGGATTGAACAGCATGGAAAGGAGGATGGTGATGGATGAGAACTCCCGGAATTCTGATCAATCTACTTGAGAGTTCCCCCGTGAGGGTGAAGTTGGAAATCGAGATGCAGTGAGCACCCAGGAGCTTTCACCCATCAAACCATAGTCAGCAGAGCAGGGTCTTCATCCTGCATGACTGGGAACACTTCCACGTAGCTCTGTCATGGCAGATACTCTGATGTCTCTTCTTTAACTTGCAGGATTTCCAACTTATCTCATTAAACCTTGGGAGCATCTCTGATGCTCAAGGTAGATCTTCTGTTATTGTAGTAGTCCAGATACCAGTGATATGAGGTGTGTGCAATGAGAATGTGTTGTCCCACATTTGTTCAGAATTCCCATATTTAAAAAAAAATAAAAAAAATTTAAAAGAATTGTAAAAAATTGTGCTAAAGGGCCAAATGTACATGAAACAAAAATTGCATTTACATACTGTAAGTAGTAAAAGAAGTTTTGTGGAAACTGGCAAAGGGACAGTCACTCTCAGTGATTGGTATATAATCTTCAATACAATCAGAAACTGCAGTATGTTTAAAGTGGATGTTTTCTGTTGTGATGTGAAATATTTTGCAGAAGAGCATGATTTCTAAACAAAGTGGGGCTTTTATTCTGTGGGAAGTTTATTGTAAGAGTGCAGCACGAAAATTCAATTTTTGGT